AAAATATTGAGCCTACCCTAGATTCAAAACGCTCCGCCGCCTATGATGTCAACAACAATTATGATATGCTGATTCCTATTTATGGCAAGCAGTATTAAAAAAGCTTGTTAGCGCAGCTCCTGCGGAGCTGAAATGTGGAACTCACGTATACCTTTAGCTTTGTTACCTGCGCATCATCTGTATATTGAATGACTTCTTGTCAACTATAGTTGTTTTCATTGAGAATCGATGAAACGAGTGGGAATTCATTATTTATTTGTATATTTAAAAAATATATTAAAAAAAGAAAATGTTGTTTTTTCATTTAAGCGCGCTCGATTTCATTTATAATTATTGCTATATACTCGATAATAATCATTTTTTTTTGTTTTTTAATTTGAAGTTATTTTTCTTCATCATCGACTATTTGATGAATACAGTTGTTGCAGTCTGTGATGGGGGGAGTGTCTGTAAGAGGGGGGGGGGGGGGGGGTATGTGTATGTAATCTTCTTTTTGGTTGCTATGGTCTGTCAGGGGAGGGGGGGAGCCGCAAAACCTCGAACTTAAAACTTACACTCACTATTTTCTTCGAAAATATACGTGAGTTCCACAAAATATATGTGAGGATTAATTTCGTTAGTTTTAGCTAATGATAAAGTTCGAGATGCATACATAACATGGATGTTAGTTCAATGCTGAATATTTAATCTTGAATGAAAGTTCTAATATTTTATAGATTTGTGATAATGATAGCTATGCAAGTTGTTCTCATAATCGGCTTCAATTTGTATTTTCATGGTGTTCATTTGTAAGATAAACTGTATAGTATAAGATTCTGCTCTATATTAGTGCCTTTATCAATGTTGTATATAGATCTATATCATATATTCAAGAGCTAGAATATTTCATGGAGTCTCTTCATCATTGCTTCAGCAAAGTGTTTTTATTTCAAATTTGTCTCGAAAAACATTCATTTTTGTTTGAAGTAAAAAATTTATTTTCTCACATCAATGTTTGTTATTTTGACACATCCTGTTTGACCTGTGGCAGATCGAAAATTAATTTCGGCTGTAACTGTTGCTTTTGAGCCGATAGGTATACTTGCTGTTAAATTCATTGGTATTTCCATTATTTGCTTACCCTTAAGAAACAATGGAAATTTTTGATCAGATTCGAAATAAAAAAAGAAGTTCTTACACCGAATACAGGACAGGAACATGTTGAGCAAGCCACACACCAATCATGATACGTGCATGATCCAACACCATTTTCACACTTGATAGGTAGAGTGACAAGAAAAGCTGTTGCTTTTAAATCGAATTTAGTCTAATTATAATTTAGTGAAGAATAAAATGAGTATTATGAATAGTTAAAAATACCTCAAGTGGATGAACAATATCTTGACTAACATCAACGTCAAGCTTAAATGAAGCAAAACCTGGTACCGTGATTGGATGAGGTGTTATTAGAAGACCTTTTAATTGGATGTGGTGTTGATTCGGATTCGAACCGCAATTGGAAAATTTATATTGTCCTTGAACTGCAGTCTAAAAATAATCAAAACGATATGTTCAGTTTTTTTTTCTAATGAATAAAATATTACCGATGAAATAAATAGGAATAAGACAATTGATTGAATCGATAGCATTTTTTGCTCAGCTCTAAAAACAAAATGACTGCTTAAATGCACATTTCATGTAATTACATTGCTTACCTGTCTTATCGGTATTAATTTTTGCTTGAAATTTATTCGATGTTGCCGGTATATATAGGGATTCATGTTATCATCTGTAATAAAAAGTCTTGTGATCTGATCATAAAAGCAAAATACTTGACTTAAATTACTTTTCTTGATAATAGTTTAATCAAATTCGACAGTTTTACTGTTTCTAGGCTTTTCTCAAGAGACACAAGTTCGATAGCGACATTTTTTAGATTGAATAAATCGACATTTTATGCACTTACTTTGATAAGAGTTTCTCTTAAATAACTCTATAAAAAAACCGAATTAACTTGCTATTGATACACTGATTAATTTTCATCGTAGAATATGTTTTTTGATTCGATTTGAGCGGGTGTGGGTGTGGGTGTGGGCGTGGGCGTGGGTGGGTGTGGGTGTGGGTGTGGGTGTGGGTGTGGATGTGGGTGTGGGTGTCGGTGTCGGTGGGTGTGGGTCGGTGGTTATCTTGCCTTTATGCACACCAACCCATAGCCACTCTCACAACCACACCCACGCCCACACTGCCACACCCATATCCACACCCCACACCCACACCCACAACCACATGCACACCCACACCCCACACCCACACTGCCACACCCACACCCACATCCATACCCCACACCCACACCCACACCCACACCCCACACCCACCCACACCCTACAGTGGGGAGCTTTCGCATAAGCAGGCGGACATGCGGTTTTTTTGCTTAGGAATGGCTTTCATTTGACTATAAATGACAGTATATCGCTCCGAAAATCGTTTTTAAGAAAATAATAGGCTTTTTAAGAAAAAAAATTTTTCGAAAAATATGGCTCGGGGGGACCTCAGCCTTTTTTTTTCGAAAAATCTTTTTTTTTTGAAAAATATGTTAAGCTACATATCATTCGATGTAGTTTGATGCGCTGATTCCGAATATCACCTTAGTTTTTCTTCAAATGTAATATAAATGCCTAAAACTGAATTTCCGGTCATACCAGCTAGTTTCGACCAAATTTTTTGCCAAAAATGACTTCGACAAAAATGGCTCTTTTTATACATGGTCTGATGCAGCTCGACGAGCTGATTCCAAATATCATCTTAGTTTTTCTTCAAAACGTAATATGGAAGCCTAAAGCCGGATATTCGACTAAAAACCGTGGTTTTTTGAGAATACTGTAAAATAGCCTAGGAAAAGTTTCACGAGTTCACGCTACTACCATAATTAGGATACATAGGCAGGAGTATCTGGTAAAAATTTCAGCTCGATCGGACGTTACCCCTTTGTAGGGTTTTTATTATACGGAACGGTAGGTTTTTCGGGCCTGGATCTGCTTTGAAAATGGATCAAATTTTTTTTTAAAACTATTTTATATATATAGTCTGATGCAGCTCGACGAGCTGATTCCAAATATCACCTTAGTTTTTCTTTAAAACGTAATATGGAAGCATAAAATCGGATTTTCGACCAAAAAGCATGAGTTTTTGGGAATCCTGTAGAATAGCCTAGGAAAAGTTTCACGAGTTCACGCTACTACCATAATTAGGATACATAGGCAGGAGTATCTGGTAAAAATTTCAGCTCGATCGGACGTTACCCCTTTGTAGGGTTTTTAATACACGGAACGGTAGGTTTTCGGGTAGGTTTTCGGCATAGAGGCTCCTGGTTTTCTACTCTATTTTAAATTAGATTACAATAATTTTTTTTTATCATAAAGTCCATAGGTGAACAAGTTTTTTGCGATATTGTTTGCTTGTGGAATATTGTGTTATATTGCCGAGCGGTTTGACTTTCTTTATTTATGCTGATTTCTGGGCCCAAGCCTTGGCTGGCTCTTTTCTTGGGCTCTATAAAACTTGGAGAACCGCTATTTTAGGAAATGATAGATCAAATATGCATGTGTCTACGCAAACGGTTAGATTCTGGGAAAGAAAATTTTCGCATATGTCTGCTTGGCTCCCCACTGTGCACCCACACCCACACCCACACCCTTCTCTATCATGTGCGCATGAAAATTTATTCAAAAAACAGTCATTAACAATCATATAACCATGATAAATGCCAATCGAATAGATCTTATCAAAATTTTATCATTATGATATTTGTTAAGATAGAAGCAAATGGTATAGAAAAATAGATCATTTCTTTTTGGTTCTCAATCATACAATATAAAGAGAAGATTCTTTTATAGAAGATAAAAGTACTCTCATCATTAGTTTTGCATTTTTTTAAGTATATTATTCAACTTAAAGAATTAATTTATGATGAAAATATATGTGTATACATTAAGATATGATATGACGAAAGTATATGAAAAGAAATTGAACATAGATTTTCTTCTTCGAATAAGTATTGATCTATATTTAAATTCTAGATGTAGAAAAACATTAATTGCTTTTGAAACTTTTATAAATAAAAGTTTCAAAAGCAATTATGCAATCGTAAAAGTATCTTTAGAATGTTGATATCACCATCAGATATAAGAACAAAAAAAAGAGTATCAATTGAAATTTAAATTGTAAAAATTCATGTATTTTTTTTTTGTATCTTAGAATACGATTTAATCTTTGTGTGAAGTTTAAAATAGAATTTAAATAAAAAAGATAAATGAATAGAAGTATGTACAATCATATTATAATGAGACTTTTCAATAAAATTTATCTAGAAAAAATTAATAAAATTATACATATAAATCAACAAAATCGATTACAAAAGTATAAGATATCCAATGGTTTGTTACTTTTTTCTCTTTCATTTATTCAATATATAACTTAATAGAAATTTATTTATTTAATAATTGCATATAAATCCACATTAACGACCATAAATGAATGAAAATATCTTAATTCGATTCATATTGAAACAAAAAGAAAAAAAACAGAATTGATTATTATTATTCATCAATTTAGAAGAGTTTAAGAGTTTTGAATCAGAACTTAAATAAATAATAGAACTTCTATATTATTAAAAAAAGAAAATATTTCATCTTATCAATTAATCATTGGAGTTAATTTGTCTTTTTTTAAATTTATATATATATTATATTCATGTTCTCAGTAAAAATCAAATACATTAGAAAAAGTAATAAAATACTTTATAGATTTCGTTAAATTTTATTTTAACTATTTGTTTCAAACTGTAAATATTTATCAATGATATAAATTTGATAAAAGTGGAAACAAAAATTTACACTTACATCAACATCCTACAGTAACTATAATAGACGGCAGCAATCATTGCATCAAGCTATTCAGGTATCGTTATCTCATCATTCTTTGTGCTGTTTTTTGTTTTTTTCTCTTATACCTCTTGTAAGCGTCTGCGATGGAACAAATAAATGAAGAATCAAAAAAAAATCTACACACTAGACGTACAAACGGATTCTTTCTTTCTTTCTTCTATCTATCGTAATATATAACGCATAAAATATACAGTATGTATAACGTAGTGACATATTGGATTTTACCCACTGATCATTATTCATGTATGTTGGAATTTTCCAAGTTTTGTTTTTTTTTTCCTAATATGGATTTTTTCATTCCACTGTTATACATCTATATATATTTGTGATCATTCGTCTTACTGATATAGTTGTTCTTCTTCAGTTTCCTTTTTTCATATAACTGAGTAAGTGTCTTTGTTATTCTTCTTTCATATACTCATCTATTAATAAATTGAGCATTTCACCCACACTTCCAGTCTTCTACTATAGATTACAATGCGTGACAGTATAAATGTGCATTTGTATAATTGAATCAGAATATACATTTTTAGATTCATATTTATTTCGTCGAACAATGCATTCTCGTCAAATGATACATAATCGTAATGGTCAATTCGAAGAATCAAAAGGTCTTGTTACTACAACATTAGATGAAATTACTGCAGTATGTAAAAACGGTGACGTTCATGCATTAGAAACAATTTTAAATTCAATTCCATCAGATAAACTCGACCATTATTTAAATGCAATGGTTCAAGATGATCAATCTCCATTTACATATTTTACTCCATTGATGATTGCATCTATTCATGGACATGATTCGATCGTACGTTTTTTATTGGAAAATTATTCTCATCATTGTATAGTTGATGCGCAGAATTATTCCTCTCAATATGATTTTGATTATAAATTTGATGTTGAACATTTTAATAAACAGACAGCACTTTGGCTTGCAGTCAAATGTAAACATCTGAACGCTGTTCGGACTCTTGTTTCACTTGGGAAAGCAAATGTTAATCAAAAAGCAGACTATGACTACAGTGTCTCAAACTGGACACCGCTACGTCTAGCATGTGATAATGGACAATTAGAGATGGTCGAGTATCTTATAGAGAATGGTGCTGATTTATACCATACAGATAAGAATAATTCAACATCTCTTATGGTTGCATCTCGCCGTGGATATGATAACATTGTACAATATTTGTTAAAATTAGATGATAACAGTAATCATCTTTTGAATGCAGTCAATAACAAAGGATCCACTGCATTACATGCAGCAACAGTCTCGGGACAATTGAATGTTGTTAAATTATTGCTGGAACAACATCATGCAAAAATTGTAAAAGATGATGATGGATATACACCATTGACAATAGCTGGTATCAATAATCAGAAAGCACTTATGAACTATTTTATTAAAAATAAGACACAATTTTCGTATACAATTTCAGAAATTATCGATGAACTTGAAATAATCGGATCTTACCATATGATAAATTGTTATCAATCTGACTTTGAAAGTGCTTATCATTATCTGTTATGGGCAATGCAGTTAAGATATAATGATCCAAAGATACCAATTCTCAAAAACAATCTGCCGTCTCCAATTGAAGCCTATGGATATTGTACTGAGTGTCGAACAATTGAAGAGTTAAATTCAATAAAAAATAATCCTAATCGCATGATTATTGAATGTCTTATGATACGTGAAAGAGTAGGTGTTACGTCGACATTTTTAAATTTTCTTGATCATCAGGCTGATTCATGTGGATATAATTTATATTCATTTGATAATGACGGTTGTTTACGTGGACCAGAAGAATGTCAGCTTGCTATACGACTATGGCTACACGCATATCATCTTAGAATACAAACACAAGTTGATTTAAAGAAATGTGTATCTTGTCTGGAGAAATGTGCTACAATTATGGGTGAACTGATCAATTATAAGAGAACGAAGGAAATTCAATTTGAAATGTTGATGAAAGTATTAGAAGCAACTGAACATGAATATCAAAGAAATAAAAATCTTGAGCCGATATTAGATGTCGAACGAGAAAATGACAGTTTTTCTTGTTTATTAAGTGAAGATGATGAAGCTGTGGGAAACAATGGGGATAAGTGTTTATATATCATCCTCAATCTTCTCTTCAATGCGTTGAAAGTAAGTGAGAAAAGTTTTTGTAATTTCTTTCGTGGATGGTTTTTCTATCCATTGAAGTCCATTGACAAGTAATTTGACAATGAAAGTAAATGAATAGATTGTTATCCCATCTGGTATCTTATCTTTTTCCCAAAAAAAATCTCCAAAACTAGAATCAAATTAGAGAAACATTTTTAAATTGAAACAATTGTTCAGTTTTACAAAGAAGTTTTTTTATTATTGTTCTGAAGTCATCGGTTTAGAATATTTGACTTGATTTTCTATTGAATTATTATTCTCTACTATATGGTTTGTTACAGGTCTTAGCATGTAAGAAGAAGAAAAAACAAGAACGAAAAGCAGTTATTGTTAAACGAGTTCAACAATATATTGACTCAGATTGGCGTACTTTATCTGATAACAAAACATTATTACACTTATCTTTAATGGAATATCATAATTCTGTTTCTGTTGGTCTTTGCAGAAGATCTCCGTCTCTAGTGGTAGTTCAACTATTATTATTCTGTCAGGTATCGATCAATGCCATTGATTGTCATCATTATACACCATTACATGATTTGGCCAGCAATAAATTTAAAAAACTTACTAAGGAAAAATGGAACGACATAAAAATAATATTCAAATTACTTATCGATGGTGGTGCACATCTTGATGCAATTGCACAGGGAAAAACACCAGAAGATTGTACTGAACACGAAAATCTTAAAAGCTTTTTCCGAATGCATTCCATTCAGCACAGTCTGAAATGTTTATGCTCACGAATGATTCAAAAGAATGAATTAAATTACAGAGATTGTATTCCAAAACCTTTGCATCCATTTATTGAAATACATTAATTATTAAAAATAAATATATTTCTCGCTTAGAGTTCATTTAAATATCATATTTTGTTTTGTTTATTATTTTTTCTATACGCAGGATTAAAAAAAGCCTTTTTTTACATCGCACTAAGAAAATAAACATGTTTTGAATCTCTTGCACATTTCTGTTATAGACTCTCGTTCTGGATACAACAAGAACCTTTCGGAGTGTGGGTGTGGATGCCGAATCAATGTTGCACTTCCAGCTACACCCATACTCACTGTCATTGAGAGAGTTAAATAGTAATAATAAAGGAGCTTAGTTTTCTTTTTATCATTGTTTCACTTATGTTAGGTAATTTTCTACTTAGCATTTTAAATAGTATTTGAAGAATGAATCATCTTTAAAATCTATTTATGTTTGCTTTGAATTATCTCTTGATATTTTGATGAAAACTTTTAGAAAGATTTTTTTTTTAAAGAACAAAAGGTTGCACCATTCTGATCAAAATTTACATAATTCTGCAATGTATTATTTTATATCATAAATTCTATTCAATTTTATTAATCGTAGTTAGATTTATGTTTCTATCAATGTAAATAGCAATACATTCGCATATAACTATTATTCATTCAAAAATAAAAGAAGAGTGAGTATTTTTCGATAACTTTTGATAGGAACAAGATAGAGACCTGTAATTCTCACTGTTTAAAGCATGAGATGAAACTGCATGGACACATATATATCAAATAATTCTGACCAATTTTCTTAGAAATTATCACCAAATTTATCTGAAAACAAACATGTTGTAGTATAAAATTTTTAGGATTTTAATTTTCACGAGTGCATTAAGATCATCTACTAGACATCTAGAAATTATGTAAGTTTGGTCTTTGCAGATTTAAGCCAATTATGAGTTATGAAAAATTTTATTACGTGTTACTGGTATATTTTTATAAAAAATGACTTTTTTCTGATTTTTTAACGAAAAATCAATCTGATAAATCTATTTGAAAACTTCAATTTTTCAAAGTAAACTTGTCAGGAAAATCTGGTGCACAATCTTTGAAAAGTAATTGGTCCAGATTTACAAATGGAGAACAAATGTATCCTTTCATTCACATTATCCGTTATTAATTAATTAGTTAGATGTTTTCAAATAATCTTAAATATAAAATCTTTCACATAATCGTATTGTCATGTTGGAAACCTCATTTGAAAAAAAATGATTTATTGAAAAAGAACCTTCTTAAGATTTATTTTAAATTAAAGATATCAACCATAATTGATTAGTTTTAATAAATACATTTTTGTCAAATCATACAAGAATAACACCGTGCCGAGCTTCATGAAAACATCCGCAGGTCAAAGAAACACGCTTGTAAACGATTGTGTTTCCCCATATACGTATTATTTATAATGAAATAGTAATACCAAAAATATTATTTAATTAAATATCTCAAATTAAATTAATAGAATTATTCATACTTATCATTAATTATGAAAATTTAAATGAGAATCTATGTAATTATTAAAACAATATTCTTTATTAGATTATTGGAATTAAGTTTTAAAATTATTTTTAATTAACCTTAAACTGCCAATAATCATACTTTTAAACATGTTATTGATCTTTTTGATATTTATGAAGATTCAAAATGCGACATTGAACATATTTCAGAAAATCATTTCTACTATTTTGTTAGCTTGAGATATTTTCTAGCATTTTGTTGAAAGATTGAATGTGAGTGTAGCAAAAATCGGCACTCGCATGGATGTTTAATATCACCTTATGAGTATATTCACTTAGAATGGCATTTTTAGAACATTCTTATGTTCTTGAATGCTAACCTATGGACTATATTTCAGACTAGAATATGTTTCATGCAATATTTTCACAAATAATTTTCAAGAGGTTAAAAGAAACTTTGACAAAATTGTAAATACATGGAAATTAACTGTTTCAGATTGTTTCCAGTTTATATATTCTTGAAATCACAGTGCAGGGCGATAATTGTAATATATTTTTTATCATATTTTTCTCTTTTTTTTGGGACTATTTCTTTATCAACAATAATTATTTCGATGTCAAATCAAATGAGAACAATTTAACAACGTTTTATTTATTTCTTTATTTTAATTGAAATAACAAACTCATTTTTTTAGGACCATGATCGCTCGTACATTATTTGTGATTTTAAAAAAAGAAGCAATAGAAAAATTCCTATAATTTCACTCAATTAAATATAGTAGAAACTAGAATTACCTGGTTTCTTTTTGTTTTTTAATAATAGTGAACTAAGAGTGGGCATGGATGTGAATGGAAAAGAAAATGCATACTGAAACTCTCCTACACCTACACCGAATTCAACTTTCAATACAAAATGACACTGTTTTTCCTCCATCTATCTTTGAGTCTAATTAGATGATGACAAATTTTCCTTTATCAACGATATACTTTCTTTTGTTCAAATTGGAACAAAAAAGAAACATTTTAGTACTTCGAACATGTCTTTCATTTAAAGAATTTGTAAATACAATAGATGGAAATTTTTAATGGAATTTCTTCTTTTTGTCTCCCTCTCTTCCTAATTAGCTTTGGACAAAATGAAGGAAAAGTGACAATCAGATTTAAATTTGGATATGAGACAAGTTTTTCCTCATAGTTGAAGAGCTTTGACGATAATAAGTGTGAAGGCTAATTGTTCACAATGACAACGAGTCAACAGTTAGATAATAACAGATCATCTTTTCTCAAAAAAAACCTGTCTTTGTAGGCAAGTTTCTTTCATTTTTTCATATATTTTTAGCTTACTATGACGTTGAAACTTGGACGAGTAAAATATATAGCCATACGTTTGCAATATGTTCGTCTCTTAGATAGAGCCCGATCTTCTCTTAATTCCTGACTATGGTCAAACATCGGATCATTTCTTTTCCATTGCAAGTATTTAGTCTGAACAAATGAAAAAATATTAAAGTCAAGCTTTTCAAAGTCGCTTTTTTTTATTGAATTGGATTTCTTGAAAAAACTCAAGTTCATTTATTCAATCAAATAGTATCGTTTGTGCTATTTGTGTTTTCTACTCTGTATAAATAACGACCAACGTAGAATTTATCATTCATGATTTGATCTAGTAGCCTTGTGAATACTTTTTTTTCAAAATATCCGTTACTCTTGTTTATATTCTTTGATTTTGGATCATAATTGCCATCGAAAAAGTACCTCTTGTATGAATGCGATTTTTTTTCTTCCTTTAGTATTATCGCACATCTCAAACATTTACGCTATTCTATGTAACAAAAAGAGATATATTATATTTCGATCACCTATTTTGTACAATAAAATTTTGAAAAACGGAAAAAAATCTCTTCGATTTGCTATTTGTTTGCTTTGATGGAATTCTCTAAAAAAAAACTGTAACAAGAAGCTAACTTTTGTTATTGAAAAGGACTATGATCTATGAACATTCTACAACAGAAAGAAAGAAGAGTCAGGCGTTCAGAGGAAGTCTCTTCAATCTGTTTAACAATAATATCTATCGTACCTGTGTACTATTCACTTTCACTCATTTTAAGTGTAGACTTATTAGCAATAAAAATTCCTCGTCTAGGATTAGAGAAATTAATAATAGCGTAGAAGTTACTCTGTTTGTAGACCAAATATCTCCATATTATTTTAATGTACATTTTCTGAATATGTAACACTGTCATAATATTCTCTAGATTGCTAGAAGTTTTTGTGCAAAATGTGTAGTCAAATGTAGAAAAAGCAAGTATCAAAAGTACCAGTTCGAGAAACAAGATATCAGAATCGAGATGATCACTTGTAAGTTCATTCGCTGCAATTGAGGTTGACCCATAAATGACCTCAGAAGTTACGTTTAATAAAATTCGTATTTTGTGAGATAAAAGTTGCATCAGAATTGTTAATTCCATTTCAGATCCATCATCGAGAATAGTTAATAGAATTAGTAGACAAATACTGATAAAATGTGTTGATTTTTTGGAACAAAAGAGAGAAGTTTGTGTATTGTGGCTAGTGTCTCGCATCTAAATACGTTTGCTAAAGCACTGCATGTTGTTTTTATCGGCTTAATCGCTATCTCTCTCCATTGACTTGTGTTTCTCATGTTCAAGAATGAAACTCGAAAAGATTCAGTTTCCCTTCCACTTGCAAAACATTTCTTCAGCCAGCAGAAAGAACAGACATGTCGATTAAGAACATTGATTTTACAATGACCATCAAAATTACATTTGAGACATGCCTATGTAAATCAAAATGACGAGAAAGACAAATTTATTTCACCTAAGCTTTTCAGTCTCAAACTTCTTTCGAAGAATATGTTGTATGGGAAACATGCCACAACACCGAGATTGAACTCTTTTTATTCTTTCGTGTAACCGTTGCAGAAGCAGCATTAGCATTGGTAATCGTAGGTGTGAATGCGGGATGTGGGTAGTATGAGTTGTTCTTCTCTAATCTCTGCATCCACACTCACACCCATCCTCAATTATATTTGTTCTATATCAAAAGGCTACAATAATACCGGCTACGCCCTTTGATTCTCAGTTCCTGTCGGGTTCAACAGCAATAAACATTTCCAATCTTCTCCTGCCTCAACATCATGAGACTATATCACAAACAGCATTGTTATCTTCAATCTTTGACGTACTTTTCTTTCCACTAATAATGATAAATTGTTAGAGACTCGTCTTATATCCATATTTGACACAAAAGTTAGTATAGGTTTCATTCATTTCAGGATCTATTTTCAAGTCTGGAAGACGATCGGTATTGGAATGATTGCCTGGCGAGCAACTCGGATCCAAATTTGAGCGCTGACAACATTCTTCCGACGGATGTAGGACGGTTCAAAAACTGCCTAAATGAAAATATGGGTAGTTTAGTTGACACAAGTTTTTGAAAAGATTCAGAGAAAATATGTGACTTCGCAGACAACAAAGAAGTTAAATTTTCTCTCAAAATATTCAGAATTGTAGTGAGAAAGAAAAACTTTTTGATAAGAACTATGCCTCTTTACTTAAGAAAGTTATTATTTAAATGAAAATGGAGCCAGATAGACATTCTTTTGCTTATATTGTGCACGATTTACGAATAGAAAATGATGAAAAATGAAGTTATCATGTAATTTCTTGAATATATTCTAACAATGGTAGAGTGTCAATGTGTTTCACTATCTTCTTGTATTATTCATGCATGACTTGAAACTTCTATCCATTTCCTTTTTGCCTCTTTTATAAAAGCTACCCATTCATTATTGAAAATTTTTTGAATAAAATCATTTGAAAGCAGTGCGACACTGCTCTGTTTTCGAGTTCTCTCCTTTGAAAAAAAGAAGTACATACATATATGCTCAATAATAACAAGAAACTCCAATATGATCTTCAATTTTAAACAATATCATCATCTTCATTAAAGCGTATAATATTAGTCGTTGTGAGAGAATATGTACGCTAACAAGAGGATACAATACTAATTCTACAAACTTCAACCATTTTTTTCACTAGCTTAAGTACTTTTTCAGCACCTTGGGATAAAATTTAGTGCCTAGGCTCTGCCCTTTAAATTTTCTCGCAAGGTGCTGAAAAAGTACTTAAGATAGTGAAAAAATGGTTGAAGGTGCTGAAGGTGCTCATAGTAAATTTGATAAAGGTGTCGAACAGGCGCTGAGGTGCTGAGCAGATGCTGAGGTGCTAGGGTGCTGGGTGCTTGCATTTTCCCCCTTGAAAAAATCAAAAAAACATTCAGTACTATAATAGAATGAAAGATCATAACTGATATCACAAAAAAGAATGTATTTCAACACACCTGAAAGTGGATAAGGATCGTATATTAATTAAAATCTTGTCTATCAATATATCCAATGTTCCTTGTTGTATGTATCTGGACCATAGAAATAACTATATTACATGATACTTGATAACTTCATCAATCAATCTGTTATAAGATAGAAGACACATCGTGGACAGAGACAACATTTTTTGAATATTGAGATAATAATTTGTTTGATAAACTGTCTGTTTTCAACATTGTAATATACTGTTGTCTTAAAAAGGCATGCAATCGAACACAGCGAATGCACCTAATAAATAATGGTATTTTTAAGTGTTTAAACAAACAGTAGTATCAAGTGATAAATAATCTATAGACCAATTCGTATATATGGATGAAAGAACATATATAAATTTGATTTAATAAAACTTAATTTTACTGAATGTAAGACAATGAATGGCATTTAAATGGATTTTAATTGAGAGAATATTTTTATTCTTAACATTTTAATTTATTTGAATTTCAATTATCATAATTCATGTGGTTTGATTTTTTTGTACTAATAATGTCAGGTAGAAAACAATATCTCCGATTTTATTCTAAATTCTATTTATGTCTTAAACAAGATTTTTGTTTAATCAAAGCATGTATGAATTACTTTTATTCTGAAGCAAATTTAACTTATAATCGATGCCCATTAACGATTAGAATTAAAAAGTACTAATTTATTCATCAAACTAAGAAAAAAATAATGCTGTTACTATAGAATTATGCATATTTCTAATTAAAATATCATTAAACATCTTTGTTTTCTATTAGTTTTCATATATTTTTGAGTGACATCAAATTTGTCAATAGTTGAATGGGATCTTCCTTTTGTCTTCGATTTTTTGCTAGTGATAAATATCACATTCAATGGTACACAAGAGAAATTAAAAAATAATTCAAAGCGTAATTTTAATTCAGTTATTTCATCAAGAATCAATTGTTCACTGAACGTATATCGATACACAAAAAGTGGCTTATATTTATTCAATTAGAATATGATGGACCCATTCAACAACGAAATATATGATGAATTGACTATTCTGTGTGTGAATACGTTCTACAACAGAGATGAATAAAATTTCTTCGCGCCTCACATTCTTCTGTCTTGCTTTGCTCTGCCAATAGGTTTTTCAGTATCATCCAAACATCTAAATATTGTAAGCACATGCTCTCCAATGCTCGGATCAATGTAGCGTAGGTATGAGCAGCAACGCGGCGAGGCACGGGACGATTTTATCTATTTCTGTTCTGCAACTCAGTTAACATGTTTGAGAAAATAGAAAATATCAAAACGATTATTCTTTTTTTATTGTGTGAGATGATAAGAAAAAGGGTTATGTAGAGAGAATATCTGTTCAGATTTGTATCAGTTGAGATTTAATCAGTTTGTTTCTTCTTTATAATTTGCTATATAATTTATTTTTGCACATGGTATTAATCAACTTCTTATAATGAAAGTATTCTAATTAAACAAAAATAATTCAACACAGACTTGACGATTGTGTCATCTTTGAAAAATTATGCTATTCGTTTTTTTTTTGTATCAAATAGAGTATTGAAAAAAATATTTTATACTTCAACATCTATTTCAGTTCTCTTAACAAAATCGTCCGTTGAAAATGAAATTTATATGATGTTTGAGATTAAAATTAGAATAAATGAAATAAAAAAAAACTTCTGCACATTTTGTAAATGACGCTTTTAATTGGCATAATCTTTATCAAAGTATGAAGAATCGTTTTATCTTACAAAAATGATAATTTTGAATTTTGTATTTAGAATTTTTTGTTACAATAGTAACAATATCTTTGATTGATTAAGAAAAATAATCACATGAAATTTATCTTCAATAATTTCTAATTAGTAAAAAGAATAATAGCTTCGAACAAACAAAATCAAGCAGCATCTAATATATAAATTGACAAAGAATCTTCTGTTTCAATGTCGTTAATCAAGAAAAAAATATTTTGAGTAGTGTAATGAAAATTTAATATTAATATTAAAAAACTTTTATTTTATGATTTTCACAAAGTTGATTTCATTAGTTGAAAACATTGTCCGAATGGACAGTGGTATTCACTATGTTCATCTATCAAACACAACATATTATTGATGCACGAACAAATCATTATGATTTCTTAGCTCAGACTAGAAAATAAAGAAAAGTGACTTTAATAAATAACAAAAAGAATTATCTTTTTCTCTAAGAATATGCTTGTTTATAGATGGATAAAGATCAAATGTAACAAACAACAAAATAATAAGCAAATTATAAAGAAAATGAATGTAAAGAATGTTAATGAAAAGAGTTATCTGCACTTTTTTAAATGAACAACATGAGCATATGATGATGAATAGAATATTGTTCAATAAACAAAGAGTTTTTCTATTTCATTTTTTAAAACATCAAAAGTTGATGATTCATGTAAGTTGGCTATTAAATTTAATAAATTTGAATAATCTTTATTTGTTCGTCGAGTATCTAGCCATAAGTGTAATGCTTGTAACGTTATTTGATGAATATCTGTTAATGTTTCAATTGCGTAAATCTTTGCTAGAATAGGAACATTATTCAGAGCTATTATAACATTTAATGCACATTTTAAATCAAACGTTCGTTCATAACGATAATTTGGTAAACATAATCCAAATAATAATTTTGAATAATAATCTAAAAATTCATAACCAGTATATGCAACTGTATCTGTTACGCCTATACTGCCTGCCTTGTCATCCACATCATATGTTATGGCAAAAGAGAAGTCAATTAATTTTATATGATTAGTATCACTATCTAACATTAGATTTTCTGGACGTACATGACGATGAATAATACGA